GTTTCAAACTGCAATCCTCAGGTCTCAGCCTTCTGAGTAGCTAGGATTATAGGTATGAGCCATCAGCACCCCACTACATAGTTCTTTTGTAGGACTTATCAAGGTACTTTTAAAAATCTTTTACCCAACTGTCTCTGTTATAGCTACAGAAATCCCCTCTTTCCTCTCCTTTTCTTCCTGTGGTACCTGGTTCAATAATTACCCCACGAATGCATGTAGTTGAGAAACTGAGGAAGGCACTGTGGTCCTTTCCCAAGGGGCCTGGTTCAATTACAAGCAGACCCTAAGACTTTCTGGTCTGGTGAACATCCTCACTGTGGTTGTTTAGGAATCATACAGCTGACAAACACTAAGGGCTCAGGGCCAAGAGCCGTTCTAAACGTTTTAAGTGCATCTATTCATTTCAAGTTACAGACCAGTTACAAAGGCCATACCATGTCCCAGGTCTGTAGTCCCAGCTACTCCCAAGGCTAAAGCAAGAGGATTACTGGAGGCCAGCCTGGGTAGCTTAGCACAAAGAGGTTAAATAATTTGCCTTGAGCTCAACAAGTTAAGCAACCTGGAGCTGACTTTGGTGCTTCTAACTTGAGAAAGCCAAGGACAAAGGTGGGTATCTTGTCCTCATCCCACCTCATTTTTTGGTGCCAGTACTAGGACTTGAACTCAGGGTCTGGGCACTTGACCCTTAACATTTTTACTCAAGACTGGCACTCTACCACTTGAGCCACGGCTCCACGTTCAGCTTTTTGCTGGAGGTAAAGAGTCTCGCAGGCTGGAAGGTGGCTCGGTGGTAAAGTGCTTGCCTTGATTGCATGAGGTCCTGGGTTCAATCCCCACAACACATAAACAGAAAAACTGGAAGTAGAGCTGTGGCCTGAGTGGTAGACCGCTGGCCTTGAGCTGAAGAGCTGAGGGACAGTGCCCAGGTCCAGGGTTCAAGCCCCATGACCGACAAAAAAAAAAACAAACAGTCACAACAGACATTCCTGCCCAGGCTGGCTTTGAACTGTGATCTCCTCAATTCAGCTTCAGGAGTAGCTGTGATGATAGATATGAGTTACTGACACCTAGGTTTTTCCTCCCTGACTTTTAAGCCGATTTGCACAGTAATCTTAACATTTGAACTACAACAACTCAGGATCCCATTGACCCTACCCTAAATTACTTGACCAGCACTTCCATAGTCCCTGTGCTGGCTCTTCTTAGTATTGCCTCTAACTAAGCCTTTGGGGCTCCGATGGGGGGGGCACTCTGCAAACACCCCTAGTTTCCTCTCAAATCGGCCATGTTGTTGTGGGTGTCCTTTGTTTAAACTCCAGTCCCGGCATTCAGCACACCCAGCCGGGTCGGGGGGAGTCACTGGTGTGTCCCAGCGGTCTCCGGGCTGAGGCCGGGGGGGTCGCCATCAGCACGGTCTCAGTGCCTTCTGCAGATGGCTGGCTACTCTCCGTAGGTGTTAGGAGTTGTGGAGAAATGGTCTTTCCCTCTGGATGGCCGCAGTGCCAGTCTGGTTGAAAGGTCTTTCTGGCCACGGCGCGACGGGCTCCGATGGCCCCGGCCCCGGCCCCGGCTCGGCCCCACGCCTGGCAGGCCTCTGCGGGCCGCCGGGGCCTCTGGTGCCCTGACATTGGCCTCGGCCCAGTTTCTCTGGCTTCTTCTAAACGCGGCCGGGAGCTACCGGGGGAACTGGAAAAACACTGGCAGGCGGCTCCCCCCCCCTTATTGTTTTACATGTTCTCCTCTACAAGATATTAATGGCCAACTCCATGGTTACCTAATAAAACAATATAGTACTAACACAGAGGTTTAGGAGA